GATTCAGGGGCTACCCGCAGTTAGCCGTAAAGCGCTGAAGAAGCTAAGGCTAGGGTTAAAAGTCCAAAAGTTGGAAGATCCCATAGTTAGTGTCCTGGCAGACAACCGCACTATGCGTGTTGAGGACTACGTAGAGGGAGTCCAGGCGTATTTCCGCCTAGAGAAAGATGGGAAGGTGGAGAAGGTTCTCCATTCCCCGACTCTACTCGTACAGGATGACCTTCCTTTTGACATAGTCCTGGACATGGATTCGGGAGAGGCAGCAAGGGCCAGACTTCATTTGAGAGAGCATGAGTGTAGGCTCCCTAGTCCCGTCAGGCGAAGTCAAGACTGCCCGCCTGTTTCATGTCTCCGGAGTAGATAACTCCTTGGCACATTGCTGTCTCAGTGCTCCCGCGTTCGCGCGATAAGTGAGAAAGGAGCAGTTAGAGGAGCAGGTCTTCGTAGCCTATGTGAGGCCTATCACTGAGCCTAAGGAAGACACACCCATAGACCTAGCTATTGCCAAGCTGCTGGAAGAGCTTAAGGATTTGACAGAGCCGCCGACAGGAGTAGTGTCGCGGCCAATCCAACATCGTATAGAGATAGCCTTGTAGTAGGACTCCTAAGGGAGCAGTCTATAGGATGTCCCCAAGGGAGTTAGAGGAGTTGCGTACGCAGTTAGACGAGCTCCTCGAGAAGGGTTGGATTAGGCCTAGTTCATCTCCTTTTGGAGCACCAGTTTTGTTTGTCCCCAAAAAGGAAGGAGAGTTACGGATGTGCATTGACTATAGGGGCCTAAATGCGATCACGGTCAAGAACGCTGAACCGCTGCCTAGGATAGATGATCTTTTAGATCGGTTGCAGGGTTGCAGATATTTTTCGAAGATCGATTTGAAGTCCGGATATCATCACATAGAGGTCATCCTGATGACCAGTACAAGATTGTGTTGCGGACTACATATGGGCACTACGACTTCATAGTGATGCCCTTTCGACTAACCAACGCGCCTGCCACGTTCCAGCCCTGCATGAATGATTTGTTTAGGCCTTGGTTAGATAGATTCGTCGTAGTTTACTTGGACGACATCTTAGTGTTCAGTAGGACCCTCCAAGAGCACCAGGGTCATTTGAGGCAGGTCTTGGAGAAGCTGAGAGAGGCCAACTTCAAGATCAACGCAAAGAAGTGCGAGTGGGCCAAGACACAAGTTTTGTACTTGGGCCACGTTTAGACAGAGACGACATTAAGCCTGAGGACAGCAAGATAGCGGTGATTAGAGATTGGCCGACGCCCCGCACGTTGACAGAGTTGCGGTCGTTCCTAGGCCTATAAGGTGTATTCAGACCACAAGACACTTAGGTGGTTGAAGACACAGGCCAAAATGACACCTAAGTTGATTAGGTGGGCCGCTGAGATAGACCAGTACGACTTTGAGCTCAAGCCTGTTAAAGGAAAGTACAATGTAGTTGCGGATGCTCTAAGTAGGAGATCAGACTACTTTGGAGCTATAGTTCACTATCTGGATATAGGGAGTGACCTGCAGGAAAAGGTTAGACATGCGTATGCACAGGACCCTATTTATAGTGACCTCCTCAAGAGAGTTGAGGCCCCTGCGACCGAACCAGATTACCACACTACAGAGGGGTTGTTATTTGAGAAGACTAATGTAGTAGACCGTCTGTGCGTCCTAACAGCGAGGAGATTCGTAGTTTGATCTTAGGGGAATGCCACGACACAGAGGGACATTTCGATTGGCAAAAGACTTTAGCCAACCTGATGCATGCGTATACGTGGCCAGGAATGAAAGTCGACTGCATAGAGTATGCTCGCAGTTGCAAAGTTTGCCAGAGAAATAAGACCACTACGTGTGGCCCTCTAGGTCTTCTTAGACCCTTGCCTATTCCTGATCAGCCAGGAGATTCAGTGTCCATTGACTTTATGGATGCTGGCGTCAAGAATAGGCACGGCAAGAGCCAAGTCATGGTCATAGTTGATAGATTTAGTAAGTATGCTGTCTTTGTTCCTTTGCCTGCAGCGGCACGCACTGAGTTAGTAATTCAGAAGTTTTTTTGACCACTGGGTTAGTGATCACGGGATTCCGCTGTCTATAGTTAGTGATAGAGACACCCGTTTCACGAGTTAGAACTGCCAGGAACTGATGAGAGTTTATGGATCAAAGTTGTTGATGTTGTCTGGTCACCATCCAGAGACTAACGGTCAAACTGAGCAGATGAACAAGATCCTGCAACAAGTTCTGCGCATGTACATTAGACCAGATCAGGTCAATTGGGACGAGATGTTGCCCAAGGTAGCCAGTGCGTATAACAACAGCGTGCACTTGTCCACCTGTCGCACTCCCAACGAGTTACACAAGTCCTTTAGACCGCGCAGACCGTTTGAGGGGCTTAACCGGGATCAGATTCATAGGCTACCGCCCGGTACCAGGGAGTTTGCAATACAGCACGAGAAAGAGCTAGCTACAGTCGTCGAGAACATCAGGAAGGCCCGGCATAGGATGATAGAGCAAGCCAACGAGCACCATCGCCCATCGCAGTTCCAAGTAGGCGACTTAGTCTGGGTCAAGTCCAAAGAGTTTGCTCCTGAGGAATCCCAAGTAGGCATCTCGGAGTTCCAACCCCAAGAAGGCCAAGTAGGCATCTCGCAGAAGTGACTGCTAGCATACAGAGGACCATGGCCAGTTCTGGAAGTCAAGGGCGGAGAGGATGGGCCGTCCTACACAGTAGAAATCCCTGCACACCTTCACACCTACCCTGTGTTTCATGCATCAAAGTTGTTGCCGTGTGTCACAAGTCAACAGTTTCCATCTAGAAGATCCATGATTCCGCCAGACATGGTCGGAAGGTACGATATTGACGGCATTGTAGGTGAAGATGTGTTTAGAGCAGGAGGTAGAGGTCGTCCACAGAAACAATATAAGGTCCGGTTTGCTTATCAGGAACCAGAGGACGACCGCTGGTTTACAAGGACAGAACTGCTAGAAACAGCTCCCGACATAGTTAGAGCCTGCGAGAGAGATAGGAAAGGTTAAGGTCCTGCCTTGGATTAGGCCGGCGGGAGTGAAAAAGTATTCACCTGTTCGCAGTAGCCGATGCGTACCCCAGGGCTCGATCCCTAGCCTTTACCTTACCTGTGTACAGTATCTGTGTCAACCCCTGGAGTTGAACCCACGACCTGTGTCTTTCCCACAGTTGGTAGGCTGTCGTAGGTCCGTAGGTTGATAGGGGTTTAATCTGTAGACCTATTGGATAGAGGTCTTAGTGAGGCCTAGAGGTCGTAGCTGTAGGTGTCCTGAAAAGTCAAGGTCGTAGCTGCTACAGTGTTCGAAAGGCCAAGTCTCCAGCCTTCCGGAAGGTCCTAGTAGTGGCCTTTCGAAGTATGGCTCACGTTTAGACAGAGGCAAGTGGGCAACTGGTGAGCCCAACTGCGGCACGTGGACAGTGCGACTGCATCGAGTCGGCAGTGCAAGCCCATGCAGTCAGTGGTACCGGTCCCATTCTGTCACAGTCCAGTCAAGCAAGTACCGTGTGGGACTGTGTGCACCAGGGGCATGGGAAAGGGGCAGACCAACGAGATACAGAAGCATAAATCAAGAAGCGGCGCCCAGCTATTCATTCATTCCTGCGAAAGCCATGCGGAAGCGCTGCTACAGCGACTTGTGCGAGGTGGTCTGCGGTGAGCCCGAAGATGAAGTGGGCGAGAGAAGGAGCTTAGCGATAGCAATACGGTAGCAGCGGTCATAGCCTCCATAGCTGATAGGAGAGTGTAGCGTGTATGTGTGTGTATCTGTGTACAGAGTGCCGCGTGTATGTGTGTGTATGTGTGTACAGAGTGCCGCGTGTGGGATATCCAGGGTGATCCTGTGTGTGTGTGGACAGAGAGTTGTACCGGCGCTGTGCCGCCATAGCCATTTGAAGTGAACTTGTCGCCAGTTTGCTGCGCAACCTGTTTGCATGTATATGAAGTGTGAATGAGAGCGAGTCTGATTGCATTGCAGAATCACACTGAAAGCCAGATAGTCGTAAGCTGTCCAGAAACGCACTGAAAGCTAGATAGTTGTAATTGTCAATGAGAGCTCTCTCTCGCCACCAACAACAATGTACTCGAAGCCCTTCTTCCTATCGGCGCTCAGCGCCCACTATCATACAGCTACTTCGCTAGCCGAACAAAATGACAATGCAACAAGTTGACGTCAACAGCAGCAACCAAAGTACGTGCAGATGTCGACCATGTAGACCTTCGCCAGGATCAGGTACGTGCTCTCACATCACCCTCACACTTGCCCTTAACATGCTTACCCTCGTCTTCTCTACCCACGTTCTTCCCCTACTGTAGGACCACCACTGTACCCCGCCAGCTATCAAGCCCCAGGCCCAGCTATGGCTGCCTGGGCTATGGCACTGCTTCCATGCAGCTCCCACCTTCCTCTAGCGCCTGTGAACGCTCCTCTGCACTTGTGCTAGCCAGCTACACGCGAGCATATGCTCCAGCAGTGCTGCGGCCCGCTCGACCAAGTGCCCGAATGCCTGACTCGTGGCCAGGCACTTTGCTATATGCGGAGTGGCCTGGCCCGATGGCAGCCTGGCCTTGCCTCGCGTGTGCCCAGTAGCTTCAGGTTGGGCCAAAGTGTCTGCGCCCAGGCCCATTCAGACAGTGGCCTGGACCCGAATTGGTTAGACCTGCCCAACCACCCAAGCGGAAATGCGAGATGTTCCCTGCTTCCACTGCGTTGCCAGAGGAGCCTGGAAGGCTCACGAATGTTTCTGATTTTCACGAGCAGGGTGGAGGCAACCAACTGGCGCGTGGCAACTGTCTGGCGCCCACCAAGGCTTTGCAAAATTGACAAATTCGGGCCTCGTTGAGATTCAGGGGCCCGCCTTCACTTAGGGAAGGCACATGCTTGGTTGTAGGGGCCACATGCAGGTATGCAGAGGGCTTAAGATCCTCGCACAAGGAAATTGTTGCTGGTAAAATCAGAAGTTGATCGTGCTGTGCATTGCAGGTCGCCCAATCACTCTGCCGGATCTCTCGATTAGGCCATCGTTCCCTGGGCGTGGGAAGAAGCTTCCAGGAGCTCTGGAGGGCCATGCGAATGGTTTCCGATATGTAGCGGGCAATTTCAAGGTGAGAGAGGGAGCCCCTGTGGACTAAGCATTTGATAACCTTGGTCCACGTTATGCCCTTTTTTTTTTTTTTTTTTTTTTTTTTTTTTCCCTTCCTGTTTGGCAAATGGTAACTTGTTTCCTGTGTCTTCGCTTTCATTTCTGGCAGACTGGCAACTATTGTCATTTTTGGTCGGGTTGGGAAGCTTCATTAGTCATAGGCCCTGTTGCCTTTGTTACCACAAGGATGTGATTGAATGATGTTATTTTCCCTCTAGTTTGCTTTTCCATGTTCTTTGTATTTTTTGTAATATTGCATGCTCCATAGAGAAGATTCACGTTTTGTCAGTCTACCCCATGATCGCATCCATTGTTGTCATTCATAGGTGCTGAGTTCTAGAAAATTGCTGCAGTAGTTGAGAGATTGTGCAAGGAAAATGAGCAATAGCGAATTCCAGAAACCAAGCAGCATCATACACATGAAACCAGATAGTCTTGACCCCAATCAAAAGTGGAATTGCAACTTGAGTTCCACCAAATAAGAGCACAGCAAAAGCTCACGAGCGACAATGTTGGAATAGTCTCATCATCATCAACAATGAACCAATGTCGAGTCCCTATCTGGCGCTCAGCGCCCAGACTACGAATGGCATATGCTATCTAGCCTACAATGCCGCTGGTGACGTCAACAGCTTCTCGAAGTACGAGCAGATCTTGGCCAATGCCGTTCGCTTCAAGCACTATGTATGTCTCACGCTTCATTCACAACCTCCATGTGCCCCATCCAGCATCTCGCAGGCCAGCTTGGCTATGGCTGCCTGCTTGTACCCTGCTCGCCCGTGAGCGTGTGGGCGCTTGCCTGCAAATAGTGCAGCAGCACTGGTGCAGCATGCAGCAAGTGCCCGAATGTCGAGCCCGCAGCCAGGTCCTTTCCTATATGGAATGAGGCTGCCAGTCATGGCTGCCTGGCTGGCCTGGACGCCGTGGACGGCCCCACGGAAGCTTCTGGTAGGCCGAAGTGGCTGAGCCCGTCCCAGGGAAACTTCCACAGGGCCTGGGGTGGTTACCTGTGTCCAACTGCCAGCGGCCTGTGTTCAGTCCATGCCCCGTGTCTGGCCCAGGGCCTGCCTCAGGTACATTTGGAAAAAGGCAGGCAGGGCCTTGGATCACTCGACCAACTGGCGCTGCACAACTGCCTGCATTTCCCAGCTGCGTCAAATCCCAAAACAAGCCTCTCGTCACTGGACAGGCCCGCCTTCACTTAGGGCGGCCGTTCTTGCTGAAAGCAGTGCCCAGTAGGGCTTACCGAGGCCTTGAGCCTCGTAATTGTGTTACCAGGCAGATATTTCCTTGGATGGAAGGGTTGGCAAGGTCCTTAGGAGAAGAGTATGCTATTGGGAGCATGGAAGTGTCCTGAGATGAGTACAACTTATTGTAGATTGCTGGGATGTCGCCGCATAGTGTATTCATGTTCCCCCCTTGTGTGGTGGTGTAGACTGACCTTCAAACCCCAAAACCCTCACTTATATGCAGTAAGTACTATATGGATTATTAGGTGACTGAAGCACTGCTTTTCTCACTTGCCCCTCACTTTGCTGAATGCGAAACTATGATTGAAGTTCATTAAATTGCTTCACTCAGTTCACTGAATGCTTGACTGAAGTTCATCAAATTGCCTCACTCAGTTCACTGAATGCTTAGACATGGTTGGGTTCTCTATTTTGCAGTCAGGGGAGCGGCTTGATATCATGTATCGCAACATTAAGCATGCATTTTTCCAGGTATTTTGGACACATTGCATCACAGCCTCTTCTCATCCTTCTATTTTTTGTGTTAGATCTAATGCCTACACAATTCCTGTCGCCCACAGCTACAGTGTGGATATTTCTGATGGTTGGTACCCTGGATGATGCTGAATGTCTGCACCCTGCCTGGAGTAGATAAAAACGTTTCATTTCTGAAATTCTGTTTTTTGCAGAGTAGTCACGCCGATGGTCGGCGTCCCTGGATTGGTCGGCGGCCGACCAGCCGACCAGTCGGTACCTAGCAGTTGGCTGTCAGTCGGCAGTCCGCATTTTTCTTTCGATTATTTTTTTTGTGGGGTCCATAACCGCCCATAACTTCAGCCTGTCTCTTATACACATCTAGATGTGTATAAGAGACAGCCCCTGTACCCCCCTATTCCCCCCCTAGACTCCAACGCCCCACCTCCCCCCCTCTTTCCAGTCCCCAAAAGTTTCTCAGTGGATTTGGGTTGTACTCAGCAAGCGCATTACAGCCCTGAAAGATTTAAACCAAAATCAGTGGATGGCCCTCTTAGTGACTGATCGCAGATTGCGTACGGCTCAGCCCGACGGGTAGGCAAGGAAACTGTTGGCCTTTGGCGTTGGCGGTAGGCAGTCTGACAACCCTGTTTTTTCCCAAAATGCATCATTTTTCAAAAAAATCGATCTGCAAATTTGGAAATTTCTGAAAACGTGACACAGAGAAGTGCACTATGGATAGTATGGAATACACAAATATGGAGTTTACGAGAAGTCTGAAACCGTGAAAAGGGGAGAGGGGGAGGACATCTTTTAGAATCGTAGAGAGAGGCAGCACTTCCAGACCTAGATCTGACTAGGTGTCTGATTTCGCTGTAGCCATTGATGTGTCGACCCTCGTATGTTTTCCATGAGCTAATGTTCAGCAGTGGGACTCCTATGCCCTGAAAAGCTCTCTCAGGCTCTGCAGAGGCGTGATCCACTTGTCTCACTTGTTCTTCTCAGGTGCTCTCTTCTTTCTGTCGTGGCTTTTCCCTTCCCTAATCTTGTCCTTTCTTATCTCATCAAATCTGCTCGTTTGACTGTGTGGGAGAGGAAACTGAAGTCTTTTGAGTCTGTGTTCTGCCCAGTACAATTTTTCAAATGAGCCCCTTTCCCTTGGGTGCTGAGTCTGTGGATGGCATTTTATTTCTTCCTTTCAGAGGTACAGTCGCTAAATGCTTCCTCAAATTTAGATGCCTCTCCAATATAATAATTCAATTGTCTATGTGGCTTTTTTTTTGGCAAATGAGGTTACAATGCGTGCGCAGAACAATCCTCATGCCTAGAGGACTCAGTTTTCAAACGAGTCTGGACCCTATGAATGAGTGGTGGTGGGATTTTATCATTTTATCGTGTGATGTGTGCATGTGCTGTTGTGTGTACGTTCAGCCAGCTCAAAATAACCTTATCACGCTTCTCCATTTTCATCTTCACCATCCAATCATGGTTGGGAACAAGAAGACAAAGGATGTACAGTTGTACACGGAGGTCCGTGAAGGTGTGGAGTCCCTAGACGGTGGCCGCAGATCGATGTAAGTACAGTTGTTCATTTACCTCCCTGTCGTGTGGGGGAAGCTGTAGTTCTCAAAATTACATCCCTTCATTTACCTCCCTGCTGGGGTGGGGAAGTTGTAGTGCTCAATTGGTGTGTACCGCTTTCCTGAACCCTTTTGATGGTGGTATATTCCAGCTGCAGCATATGACTGCCTAGAATGTATGCCGAAAATCTGCCCGTTAATCCCAACTCCTAGGTTTACCCAAACAATGCGGACCTTGCAGATGGAGAAGGGGAAGGAAGGTGAAACTATTTAGGAGCAAGAAAGCTCGTCTCCTCTCCTATCCCAGCCCTCCCTCTCGTACATGATTATGGCATGGTGACTTGCTGAAACTCTGCAGACACAACCTGCACAGCCCCTTGTTTGTTGTCCTCCCTCTCTGGCTACGATTCACTGGGTTGTTCTCTATGACGATTATATGTCCCCGGTCCCTACCCCATAAAATAGCACTTCAGCGCCTTCGAGGTTGCTATGAAAAGACATACTTGCTCATCTACACTGCCACGATCTTTTGGTGCTCGGCCAGGTCGCTAGCAGCCTTGCCCTCTTGTTGATCCATTGGGTTGTCGGTCCCACGACCTCAGCTGCTTTTTTTTCCTGTCTGCAGGTGTTGGGAGGAAGTGCTGGTTTAGCACTTGCATGGTTGCTTGCCGGTGTTTTGCATAAATGATTCTTTGAATTCTCATGTGTAGCATTCTAGGACCTCCTACACGGGCCACTCAGGCCCGACATTCTCTTCCTCGGTCCCTAAGCTGCACAGCCCCTTCGGCTGGGCGACTTGGTGGTCCACGGCCAAGTTTTAGACCTAGGCTCATATTTTTTGCTCCATTCGCTTGTCTTTTATTCAGCCTTTTTTTTTTAGAAGAAAAAACTTTCATTAATAATTTGAAAATTGAGGCTGGGGACCTCACAATTCGAACTGGAATTCGACCCAGAGTTATCCTGGCAGCCGACCTCACAATTCAAACCTTAGCCAGTTTCACTTATGATCAAGATCTAGCCGTCTTCCTACCCTATTCCTGTGTGCCTTCCCTGGGGGTTCCTAGCCTCCTCTTAGCTGTCGCAGCTGTCAGGTATTCGTTATATTCTAGAGTCACTAGTCCTTCCCAATGTGGGTCGGTCTCTACATCTGTCTGCCTTTGACACGGCTCGACGGATGCAGACACAAAGTGGCAAAGTCTCAAAGTCGCAGTCGTGAATTCCTGAACACAATGTCGAAGCAAAAGTCACACTGAACACAAGCACTGAGGCTGGAAACTTGGTGCCCGTACTGGGCTCGAGTCCAGACATAAGTACCGGACTCAGTTACGGTCCTGAGGGCGAAAGTGAAAATGCCTCAGGGCCAGTACTGAAAATCAGAAGTCTGAGAGTGGGCACCAGAATGTCGGATGGCCCCAAGTGTCCGAAATCCGAAAGTCCCAAAAGAAGGAATTTTGAAAACGGGCGCCAGAATGCAGATGACGCCAACTGTCTGAAATCAGAAGCCCAGTCATAAACAAACATGATGACAAGGATATTGAATGAACAAGTGAAGCATTAATGTGTGCTTCGGAAAAGGAGGAGAAAGGACGACGAGGATGACGATGATGATAGTAACAACTGTGAATACTCATCATTGAAACGGTTTTCACCTTTCAGCAGTAGCAGATGCAGTACCCAGGGTTCGATACCTAGACCTCGCCTTACCCCTGTGACCTGTGTATTCGTAGACAGCTGGTAGGTCTGTCGTAGGTCCGTAGGTAGCAGGGGTTCGATCTGTAGACCCATAGAGTAGAAGTCTTAGTGAGTTCCAGAAGCTTAGCTGTAGTCCTTCTAGAAGGTAGGCAAGTGGGCAAGTGGTCAAGTGGCGAGGCAAGTGGTGGACTAAACTGCAGTGCAATTGCAGTACAACGTCGGTAGGATAGCAGTGAGTCCACAGTCAGTCAGCAGTAAGGTCCAGTCAGTCCCAGTCCGGTCCAGCAAGTACCACGGGGGACTGTGAGCACCATGGGCCGATGGCAAAGGGCAGACCAACGAGTTTCTGAAGTATAAATCAAGAGGCAGTGCCCAGCCTTTCATTCATTCCTGCATGAGCCATGCGGAAGCGCTGCCACAGCGACTTGTCCAAGGAGGTCTGCAGATGAGCCCGGAGGACGCAGTGGGCGAGAGAGGAGGAGTTAGCATAGCGATAGGGTAGAAACAGCCATAGCTGCCATAGCTGTAGCTAGAATGAAGTGTGTGTGTATGTGCGAGTGTTCAGAGTGATGCGTGTGGGATATCCAGGGCGATCCAGTGTGCGCGAACAGTGAGTTGTTTCGGCGCTGAGCCGCCATAGCCAGTTAAGAGTGAGCTCGTATCCAGAAGATATATCTCTAAGTTTTGAGTGGGCGCACGTCGCCAGTTTGTTGCGTTGTACATGCATGAGAAACGTGAATGAGTACGAGCCTGATTGCATTGGTATCGGAGCTGGTACCCGCTATTCCATGCGCGCCGTTGTGTGCAGGGCCTGACGTGCCATAGCAGAGGTGGCCACTGAGGGATATAGTCTGCCATAGCGGACCCGAAGTTGGAGAAGAAGCCGCGCACCTGCAAAGAAGACCAGAACGAGGAAGAAGACAGAGAGAGAGAGAGAGAGAGAGAGAGAGAGAGAGAGAGAGAGAGAGAGAGAGAGGGGAAAGGTTGAGCGATACAAGTTTGGGTTACTACATACCTGCTGCGCTGAAGATACCGCTACGGCGATAGAGAGAGAGAGAGAGAGAGAGAGAGAGAGAGAGAGAGAGAGAGATATGAGTGATACAAGTTTGGTTGTCACATACCTGTGAAGCGAGCGTGTGCAGTTCCATGTGGGCGGAGAAGAAGCGGCCATAGCCGCGGAGCATCACCACGGAGTAGTGAAGGAGAGGGAGAGACCAGACAGAGGGGGAGAGACCGAGAAGGGAGAGAAAGCGGCCATAGCCGAGAGGTGAAGAGAAGGCCGATCAAAAAAAAAA